TTGGAAAAATGATCATAAGCACTTTCAAAAATGCCTACCGTACGAATATAATCTTTATGATCTCTCTTTTGCTAGTGAAAATTCTCGAGTACATGCATGTGAAAGATTTATTAACTGATGAAAATCAAGTACAAAGCTTCCTCCACATTTTACAATTGACGGCAGCATAAATACTCAACTCTCTCGAATATCTTCATAAAATTTATCAAGTTCGATTCTCAATATTAAAGAACTTACTTTCGTGTCTTCACAACCTTCATCCCGTGTGACCTTTTCATGATCATAAGATAATTCCTGAACCTGAAAAAAAACCACGTCAATCCTAAAGGTCAAATCTGAACGCTTGTATTTAAGATTCGTCAAAAAGAAAACAGTAGTTTTAAGAACCACATTTTAAAATTGACTAAGCTAAGCAATTTTAAGTACAACAATCACTGAGACTATTAAGGGAACATATACCATGAAGTTGTCTTCTAAAGAATCATCCAGATTTTCCGGTGCAACCTTTGATTCCTTGTGAAACGACTCTGGGGAAATACAAAACCATATTTATCTGAGAATAGAAATAAATTTCTAGTGTAATAGTTCATTTTATTCCAACATTTTGACCTTCAGACTATTTACATTAATACCTACAACAACTGACCTGAAGAAATGTTTTTCTTGACATTGGTTGAAACTGGTTTACTTGAGTGCTCTCGTGATCCTTTGTCGTTTATGCTCATGTCAACCTGAAATTTGAAATTGATAAGATGACATATTATGAACATTCAACAATCACATCATCATTCAAATTCGTTCGACTTAACCTTAAGGAAGCAAAAAAAGAATACCTTGAGTGAAACATCTGATTTCTTATAAGCTTCATGAACTTTTTCTTTATCTTTTGCCGCATTCAAAATCACTTGGGTCTCGTTTTGGTTGAAAATTTGAACAAACTCCTTCACCTTTCCTCTGGACACACTACTTTTTACTGAATTTGCAGCTGCACCATGTTGTACCTTGTTGACATTGGTCTTTTTTTCATGTTTATTGGCATTTTTTACGTCACGCGAATTAGCCGCACCAATTTCTTTTGTAGGTAATCAGTAGACATTTTTTTTTTCATGTTATCACAAAGAAAAAATAATATCAATTCGTACCGATGAATCATTCGCGATTTTTTTTTTTTTACAAAGAAAGAAAATAAAAAGTCACCTGGCTTTGGCTTCTGGTCGACCTCGTCACAATGCAGAAAAGCTCGAAGAGGCTTCTTCGCCTCTTTCTCGAGAGACTTAATCTCCTTCTTCAAAAGGACTTGTTTTTTTTCAACTTTTTTCTCTACACAAGCTTTTTCACCTTCAAGAACTACATTTTCATTTACACTTACTCCTGATTTTGTTCTTGAAACTTCATTTTCGAGCTCCATTGTTATATCATCATAATAACCGCTGCTTTTTTTCGACTTCAAACTATTCCCAGCCAGAAAGCCCGGCAACAGAACCGGGACTTCCCAGCCCGCCCATTTATAAATCGAGAAATGGAAACTTTCATCGGCAAGAGGCGAATCATAAGAATCGACTCGATTTCTTCTCGTCTTATGATCCTGGCCCTTGATCGACTGACTCGAAAATCTTGATGATGGGCTTGAAGACTGTGGACTGCTTAATGCGTTTATGTTCGAACCAAAAGGCGGGAGCTCGACAGTTTTGATAAATTTTGCAGGGAGACTGAGAATACATGAAAAAACAAATTAACAAAAGCTATGCATAAACCAAAGTGACGAATACTGAATACAAATAGAAAGCTGATAATTTGGTTGAGCCAAAACAAAATTCAAAATATGAAACACAAAAGCACCCAATCAAAAGTAGAACCTATATACAATATGCAAAACATTCAATTTCAATCAAAGATTCAATTTTTATCCAGCTAAAATTAACATAATCACTAAAAAGAACAGTACCTAAACTGAGTTGGTAGGGAGGTGCCAAAAGGCTCGGTTTTAGGCGAAAAGGGCCTAACCGGGCTCATGATCCTCGAACCGGGGCCCGACCCGAATACCCCATCTCGATCGTTTTCCTTCGAACCCCTAAATATGTCGTCAAAAAAGTCGTCCCTTTGCTGCCTCCTTCTCGGCCCGCTTTCCTCACCGAAAATGGGCTTCTCGACCCATGGCAAACGGGCCTTCTCCTTATTGGGCTCCTGCATCGAAAACCGCCTCGGCGGGCCCCCGAAAACATCGTTGAAGTCCACGTCATCGGAGCTTGGGCCTCTTGCAGAGGAGGATAAGCCCACTTGAACATTTTCCCTCTGCATGAACTTCTCCATTTCTTGAACAGAAACGATGAATATGGTGTTTTGTTGTAATGAAAAAAAGGAAAGAATTTAAGGGGACAAAAGATTGTGTTGGTGGGGTTTAAAGTTTAAACACTGAAAGAATATTATTTTTAGTGAGTTGAAATCTGAAGCCAGAAAATGGGTTTGAACTTTGAAGCCAATAAGGCATGTTCTTTGGTTCAAAATGAGGATAAGGTGAAGTATAACAGAATGCCAGACAGACAACACAAAAAAAAAGAGGGAAAAGTATGTGCTAAGACAAAACTGTTTTATTCATCACCTAATTAATTTTCTGGAAAAAAATTATTATCTTGGCAGCTGTTAACTTGAATTTTCAGTGAATGTTATATGTTTTGGGGCCATTTATGATGTTTTATTGGTTATTAAGGATTTTTAGTAGGGACCAGTTGGGTGGAATGTGTGAAGGGTGTTGAGAAGAAGTAAACTATCTCCAAATTTGGCTTCTTTTGTAAAGGAAAAGGGATGGTTTTTTTGGTTTCTCGTGCTAGGAAAATTAAGTAGAATATTAGTGTGAAATGAAAATATAATCGCATTAGTTAATGTGACTATTTTGTGATAGTATAATGGTATAAATAGTAAAACACAGCTGTGTTAGTTAATGTGATTATTTCATAATAAAGTGATTAAATATTCATAAATGTAAATATTTGTTTTTTATTAAAAAAAATAAAATAAAATCAGTGTTATTTGTTATGACATTNAAAAAAAAAAAAAAAAAGAGAGAAAGAAAAGAAAAAAGAAACTCTAGTCTCAAGCAACCATAACTTCTCAATGAACCGCTCGTGATTTGATCTCAACTCATCAAAACTTGAGCTTTAGCTCATTTTAAAGTTCGTTTAGTTAACAAGCTCGTTTCAAATTTTCACATGATTTTCTCAATTTCCACCTTAACTCAGCTCGTTAAGGTTTGAGTTTAGCTCATTAAGGCTCACATCTCACTTGTTATGATTGACAAACGAGCCGGATGGTTAACGAGCTAGGCTCAGCTAGATTCAACAAAAACTCGACCCCGAACTCGAGTAACGGAAACTTAAACTCGACTAGGTTCGTGTAAGCTTATGTTGCTGATTGTTGGCAAGGATACAAGTTGCAAACCACCACACCATAAAACATGGTCAGCTCAATGTAAGAAGTAACTTCCATAATTAACCCATCTCAGACCATTGGTAAAAGATCAGTTTCTGTGTAAAAATTTTCAAACTTCTATAGTTCAGAAATTCCAAAAATGCAAGCCCTCAATATCCCAGTTCCAGAAAAATGGTATATTGGGTGTCAGTTTTTCCTTCATGAGGAAATTTATAACACCTCAAAAATGTAGCTAGGGAAAAAAAAGAAGAAGAAGAAGAAGAAGAAGAAGAAGAAGAAGAAATTATCTGCTATTTTTTGGTCAGTCTATACACTGTGTACGTTGGAACCAAGCAATCGATCATCCTCTTTGGGCATATCCATCATGTTAATCTGGGCATTCGATTTCGAGTTGGTTTTGTTCCACTCATTCTCGACCCGAAAGAAAACCCACTGGAAACGGCGCAGCATCTCAAGGACGGTTATAGTGAACACTGTAAGGTAGTTATGGCGAAGATGGGCCGATAGCTTGTACGTCCAAGTGCACCTCAGGATAAGGTTGCTCCCGATCACCCAAAAGTACACCTGCAAAGTTCCGACTGCAAATATTAAGTATGAAACT